CGTGGCATATGCAAATAAGTTATGCTAATGAGTTATGCTAATGAGCTCCGGCAGCTCTTTTTCTACAACAAGACCCCTGCAGCTGAGCCTGGCAAACCTAGAACGGAGCATATATTGGCGCTCCCAAAACTCCAAGGACAGTTGGAATGTAAGAAAATAAAAACCTGTTTCCTCCTACCAAGAAAGCTGCAGAATTTTAGAAGTTGTTTTTTGGCGGGGGTGGGTTTTCAGTCAGACAGTGCAAGAAGTTGTTTTGTTTGCAGGGATTTCCCCTTGTTCGGCTGTGGAAACCTCCAACCAAAGATTCTGCGGACTTGAGGAGAATCACCCCCCACACACACACTCTGGTTTATCTGGAGACTCCATGGCCTAGATTCTACGTCTGGCAACTGGCAAGGTAACTATGCTATTTTCTGATGGCTGCCCCACCCACCCCGTTACCTTCCCAATGTCCCTCCTGCCAGACCCCCCCCCACACACACACACTACAATGTCAAAGCTCAAACAGCTAGCCTGTGTAAATGTCATTTCCCTGCAGTGATTGCTTCAGAGAGGAGTGACAGACAGATTGCTGCATTTTAGACGCCCCGGATCAAGGTTCAAACCCTGCTCCACCACGTTGCTCCCTGGGTTGCTTTGGCCAGGCCACGGTTTCTCAGCCTAGCCAGCCTCGCTGAGCCAGTCAACACCACCACCACCCCCAGCATGTGCAGAACCTGAGCATGGGCCCTGTGCATAATTGCACTCTTACAAGCAAATACACATTTACTGGGCCCACCCATAAGGGTTTGCAAATGCAAAACCTCTGTGTGCATGGTAAAGCTGTGGGAAACCCACGTGCACTGGCCTATTCACACCTCCCACAAAACTGCACCAAGGGCAAACAACAACTCTCTGTAGGCAACTGTGATCACATGTTCACACACACACACACACACACTGCACGTCAATATCAACAGTGGCAAGTGCAAATGACGCACCCATTAAACATCAGTTTGCACACTTAGGAGAACAACCCCAGGGTAGCATCTAGATACAGTGGATCCAGGCACCATGCAAGGTTCACAAAAATAACAACAATGTTTACAAAAATAACAACAGCAGCAACAAGGCAGCAACGTGTGGCAGTATTCAGAGCCCGGGACACCTCAGGCCAAGGGGAGAAATCAATTCTATATGCAGGAAAAGCTGGTGCAGGTGTCTCTGCAATTCCGCTGAGCATGCTCAGAGCAGCAGCCATTGGGACAGAACGGAGAATCCACCCAGGTTCAGAGGAAGGTCTCCCCTGGGCTGTCCCAGGCAAAGGTCAGACAGGGTGAGACACCTAGGCCATAGCGGTGGCCACCTTGCAAGTGTCCCAGCAGTGTACGCCTCTTAACCCTGCTCCTGCCAAAACCAAGCAGGCCGGCAACTCCGCCAAACTGAATGCAGCCAGCCGGGGCCGCACAGGCCAGAACCCCCACAGCCGGGGAAACCTGTCCTGTTATCGCAAAGGTCCCAGGAAAAGTCCAGGGGTCTGTGCATCGTGACCAGGGCTTCGGACTCGCAACTGAAACCCCATTTCTAGGACAAGACACAGATGCGTCCCTCCACTGATGCCTGCAGGCGCTTCGACTGACATCTTCTTAATGCTGCTCGGGCCCAACCAGAGGAAGAGGCGCTGTGAAGCAAACCCCCAGTCAGCATCCCAAAGTACCCAACCAAAAAACAAGGGCCCCTGCCATCGACAGAGGTGCGGAAGGAGCCTTCCCTGGATGGAAGGCAACCCAGGATCCTCGCCGACGGTCCCTCCTCCCCCCCAGAGGAAAATTCCCTTTCTAGATCACCGGCACCAATGCATTCCCTCTGCAAACACAAGCCATTAGGGCCCAGAACCCATTTCTCAACGCCGGGGACGGCAATTCTGAACAAGCCTTCCCTTCGCTGCTGCACACAGACCCAACTGATTTTCACGGATCTGGAACCAGAGGGTGTGCGGAGGACTCACAAAGGTCACCCTGCTTCCAGGCAGTCCGGAAAGCCCCTCTTCCTTTTAAAGGCAAGACGTAATTAACATCCAAAAGCCAGGATCTCTCTCTGCTTCCTAGGTAGTTACAGGGCCGCCATTCCCCCCCCCTCTGGCAAAGCCCCCACTGCTTGCGCCTGAAACTGATTTCATCCCTTTGCAGCAGGTGCTTTTCGAACCTCCAAAGGGGAGGTGGTTTGTTTAATACGGAGAGGGAAGAAGAAGGCAACCCGGTAGGTAACGGGAGACCTTTCCAAAGCCAGTCTAGAGTGCATTTTCACACGAAAGCACCTCTGACCGTCTCTGGCACCATTTCAGTGTGCGTCTGAATTCTGTTCGCAAGTGATTAAAAAAAAACAGAATTAGTTTCTTTCTTTTTTTCCTTTCTTTTTTTTTAAAAACACTCTTTGTCCCTTCTAAGCATTGATTACTATTACAGAAACACACACCAAAAAGGGTGAGATTTTGGAGTCAGGGCTGAAAATGCTCCACCACTAATTATATTCCGCTTAGGCAACAGGGGGAAAAAGAATTTCTGGGTCTGATTCCCAGCTCTGACCTCTGACCCTGGACCAGCCACATTCTTGGCCTGCGCTAACCCCAGGACTGGCTTACGGACAACGCAACCTGCTTTTTGAGAGGACAAGGCCGAGAGATCTCGCTCCCGCCGGTTGTGACCTTTCCCCTGTACTCTGTCACTCACCCAACACTTGTGACTTCCTTCGACACCTCCTAGCTATGGACACAGAGAGAGAGAGAGAACGAACAGGCAGAATTACACCTTTTCCTACACTGGTGGTAAAAGGTGACCTGAGACAATCAAACTCCCACTACCACCAATCCAGAGCAAAAGCTAGCTTCTTTTCCAGGGAAGGCATAGCAACAATTAATATTGCACAGTGAACAACCAAGGACAGACAGCCCAGGAATGGCAGAGGGAGACCTGGGCATGGGGTGCGGGCAGGGTAGATGGGGGGCACCCCCACACACACACAAGGCAAGAGGGAGAGCTGTCTGAACCGATCAGCACAGGAAGAAAATGCTCTGGGAACGGGCCCAGACCCTGCCCCGAGACACTGCCTCCTTTCTTCACCTAACTGAGCCAGCTTCCCCCCCCTGGTGCACGCTTGCCCGGACCTGCCGCTCTTCTACCCAAGGACCCCCCCATCCACCCCACACCTGTTTTTAGGGGAAGGGGTCCAAAGTACACCCAGCTTGACCCCTTCACCTTACCCTGACCTACACCACGGACATCCTTAAACCATCCTTCCACGCCTTCCCCCCATTCCCACGGCAACTTGTTCCAGCAAGCAAAAGTGAGGGGGGGGGAAGCAAACAACATTTCCAAGATTGGAGAGAGGGGGGGGATTGCCAGAGAGAGCTCTCTTCCTTGCATGGCGGGCTTCGCAGGGCTTTCCCCCCTCGGGCCAGAAGCGAGCAAGAACTCGCAGGCTGTATGTGGGCCACAACATGCGAGGGGGGGGGGACACTATCCACGGCCAAAGCAACGCGTTCCCCGGCCCCTCCCCTCACTCATCCTGAAATTTAAAAAACCTAGGAGAGCACCAAGAGTTGGAGCAATTTCCAGCCTCTCCCAAAGCTTTTCGTTTGGAACGCCAGGATGCATTAGCAAGCTAGGATTAACCGCCCCCCCCATAAAAAAAAAACCCGGCCACGTCCCACCAGGGACAGCTGTCACGGCGACAGCCCAAAGAGTGTCAACGTCGCCCCTCAGAACCCCCCCTTCCCGCAAGGACAGGATCCCTGCTGCTGCTGCTGCTGCATGCGTCCCTTTGCAACTCAAAGTATTCCCCTTCCTCCCCCCCCCACCCTGCTTTGATCAAGCCGGGAGAGGAACCCCATCTCTCCCCCCCCCCGAAAACCTCTCCCCTGGGGGGGGGAGAACCCGGGACATGCAAAGTTAAATCCAGCGCAACCGGAAAACAGGCCTTGCTGCCAACATCCAAGGGCTCCGACGCAGTCCCCCCTGTAGCCCCCCAGACTTGTGATCCGCCAGCCACATGCCAAACGTCCTTATTTTTTAGGAAAATATTTACCCATATTTCCCCCCCTTTAAAACGCCAATAGAAAAACACCCCTCTCTCCCCTCCAAACTCTCTCTCCTCCAAACTCTCCCTCCCCCAAAAAAGCGAATGTCAGAACTATTTACCCTTGCTGCGGCGGTGGCCTGCTACAACCCATGGAGATATAGATAGATATATATAATCTCCATGCATATATGTATATATGAAGAGTTTTTAAAAAATAAAAAGCCCAGCCAAATCTAGACCCACTTGGGATTAGGCGCCGTGGCGGCACAGTTTCGCGGCAAGGACAGGATTTGTGCAAGGGGGGTGGGGTGGCGAAATGCTATTTAAATCCCATCCGAAGAGGCTCGGCGGCCAGTTGCAAGGAGCACCCTCGTCGTAACGTCTGGAGTGAAAGACCTTTGCGCGGAGCGCGGCGGTGGGGTGTCCCCCTCCCCCCTTTCGACGTGCAGCCTCTGCTCGCATTTTTATTTTTATTTGCAAGCCCGAAGGGGAGAGAAGATCGCGTTGCAACGGCAACCCCTCCCCCGGTTGGCACCCTCCTCCCGAGGAGCGCAGTAAACAAACCAGCGATTCCGCCGCCGCCGCCCCCCCCCGCCCGCGAAAAGGAAGAGTCTCTACAAC